GCCAGGCCATGGGGGGATTAACCACCGAACTGCCGGGCCACGGGGGGGATTAACCCCTGAACTGCCGGGCCATGGGGGGGATTAACCCCTGAACTGCCGGGCCACGGGGGGGGGATTAACCCCTGAACTGCCGGGCCATGGGGGGGATTAACCCCTGAACTGCCGGGCCACGGGGGGGATTAACCCCTGAACTACCAATCCTCGGGGGGCATTAACCCCTGATATATATAATACACAATGTTAATCCTTGCAGAAACCTATAACTCCTGCTGTGATGTGGATATTACGGAATGAAGTAATACTTTGTAAGGGCAATGAGTTGTTCATATATGTAGTATTGGGGAAGAATCCATTAAATGGAGGGAGGCCGTTGGTGCGCAACGGTCTTATTACACTAATATTTTATTTAGATATTGCTCAGGCATTTGTATGGAGGAAATCTGGATAGAAAAAAACAAGTGAGAATGAAAGGCGTCCCTTTGAAAAGCAAATACCACAGCTAACTTATAGCGTAGTAACGTGCAAGACAAAAGCCAGCATTGATTAACTGAACTTTACTTAGAATAAGTCAAGCAAATCACAATTGACGTGGTTTATACATAGTAGATGATATTAGAGCAAATGTGCTTAGTGGGTCAAAATGTTACACCAGGCTGGTGGTTATGATGCTAGGAGTACCCTAGCCCTCATCCTAGTAATTGGCAAAACCATTTTGTGACACTTAGCCCTCTCCCTAATGACTAGTAACATACACTTTGAAAAAGCCTGTGTGAAGGGGAAACACGTCACTGTTTTTATACTATACTTTTTGGTTTTATTATTTTGGTTATACAAACCTTCCTGTTTTTAGTACGGGTGGGGATTAGAATGAAAGAATGGCTTAGACATGTTTGGATGGTAAGGGACTCTATTATTAAGAGAGTAGATTTGGCAAGCTGCTGCTCTAATCGGCTCAACTGGACCGTTTGCTGTCTCCCGGTTGCTTGGGTTCGGCATGTTGCTGACAGAGTGCATGGATTATTGGGAGGGGCTTGGGATGACCCATGGTTCATGTTGGTACCAATGACAGTATGACTAGACGTTTGGAGGAGATTTTAAACAAGTGGTGGGGGGGGGGATAATAATCTGCAAAAAGAAGATAGGACAGAGATGGGCTTTAGCTCAGTACTAGAGGGTGGGTTGAGATCAGAAAAGGGAGCTATGTAATAGCAATAACAATTCACATAAAATACATGTGACTCGTGAAATTTAATGTATGCTTACTAATGCAAGGAGCCTAAATAACAAAATGGGGGAACTCAAGGCAATAGCATACAAAAAGCAATATGACATAATAGGCAGAACAGAAACATGGTGGGATGAGACACATGATTTCGCAGTTAACTTACATAGTTACACACTATTTAGGAAGGATAGAAAAAAAAGGAAAGGTGGTGAGAGTATGTTTGTATGTCAATCATTAGTGATGTTGCAAACCTGAAATTTTCGGTTGGCGAACGCGAACTTCCGCAAATGTTCGCGAACCGCCATAGACTTCAATGGGCAGGCGAATTTTAAAACACACAGGGACTCTTTCTGGCCACAATAGTGATGGAAAAAGTTGTTTCAAGGGGACTAACACCTGGACTGTGGCATGCCGGAGGGGGATCCATGGCAAAACTCCCATGGAAAATTACACAGTTGATGCAGAGTCTGGTCTTAATCCATAAAGGGCATAAATCACCTAACATCTCTAAATCACAATGGATATGGATTGACACCTGACATATGACATATTGACACCTTGACATATGGATTGATACCTGTCCTCAGAGACCCTGATACACACTGACACAGAGCAGAATAGAGACTGTTCCTCCTACATAGGGTCACTTGGCAGATATGGATTGACACCTGTCCTCAGAGCCCTGATACACACTGACACAGAGCAGAATAGAGACTGTTCCCCCTACATAGGGTCACTTGGCAGATATGGATTGACACCTGTCCTAAGGATCCCTGATACACACTGACACAGAGCAGAATAGGAACTGTTCCTCCTACATAGGGTCACTTGGCAGATATGGATTGACACCTGTCCTCAGAGACCATGATACACACTGACACAGAGCAGAATAGTGACTGTTCCTCCTACATAGGGTCACTTGGCAGATATGGATTGACACCTGTCCTCAGAGCCCCTGATATACACTGACACAGAGCAGAATAGGGAATGTTACCCCAACATAGGGTCACTTGGCAGATATGGATTGACACCTGTCCTAAGGATCCCTGATACACACTGACACAGAGCAGA